ATAATTTCTCATTCCTTGAGAAATTATAAAGTCCTTTAAATTTATTAATCCTTTCCGAGGATTAATATATTCATGGTCCTTCGTCCTTCTCCAATAGTGAACTGGTCGCCTAATCCCTAAAGGAAGCTTCCCAAGCCATTTGAGTGCATCCAATAATAAAATCAATTTGCCGTCGGAAAAACGCAAGTACAAAAAACTGCAATGCCAATGTGAGTAGAAACCCAAATTTTTATTTATTTTTACTCTTAAAAAGAAAAAATTCTAAAGTGAAAAATCTGTGCAAGTGTGTGTGTGTAAGGAAAAAATTTATGTTTTAAAATTGAAATTTTTGCCAATAAATTCGAAAGAAAAAAGAATTTCGTAAAAAAAAAAAATTAAAAATTTTTGCCAATAAATTCAAAAAAAAAAAAGAAAAAATCCCTTAAAAAATTAAAAAAAAAAAAATTTTGCCAATAAATTTAAAAGGGAAAATCTCTTAATAAATTAAAATTTTTGCCAATAAATAAATGAAAAGGAAAATTTCTCAAATTTGTTTAATTGTGCCAATAAACACCACTAAAAAAAAAAAAAAGAATTATTCTCTTAAAATTTAATTAAAAAGAAAATATCCCTTATTACTCTTAAAAAAATTGCCAGTGAAAGTGAAAAAAAGCCAAGAAAAAAAGTGCAAAAAATAGCCTGTTGCCAAATTTCTATTAAAAATTTAATAAATTCTGGAAAAGAGTGTTAAAAGTTCCAAAAAATTGTGACGTCAGATTTATTTCCAAAATCGACAAACTTACTGTGTAATACAAAAGCATAAAGAGTGAACAAATTACATTGCAATAATAAAAAACAAAACCAAAATATCAAAGAGTTTAAATGTGACAAAAAACCACCACCATCGATCATCAATAAATATTAAGCAACAATAACAAACATACATTACAGTTAGCGGTGATATTCCTACTCTCTTAATTGTTCTCAATAAATTGTGAAAAGAAAATAAAGAACAAAAGAAAAAAAACGCACAGTGGGCTCGACGTGAAAAAATATTACTGAAAAATAAAATAATTATAAATATTCAGGAAATATTTTTTGTGTGCATCTACAACAAGTGAACATCAAAATTATTAAAAATTGATTCTCAATAAAATAATTGCTGTGGAAAAATACCATATACATATTTGGAAAAATAATTTATTGGAATATTGATTGTTGCTTTTGAGTATACATTTTGTGTGGTTTATTTGTTACTTCAAGGAGATAATTTCTCTCTTTATGCATGTATAAATGAGCACAGTGGTCACAGTGAAACAAAATAAAAAAATTTTTTCTGATCATATAAAAATAAAATCTTATAATATTAAAAGAAAATTTTAGATAATTTTTTGCACTTCTTTATATAAATAATTTTTTTGGTGCTTGGCAATTTGTGATAAACGGAAAATTTTGCTTATAGAAATTAAAGCGAATTAAAAATAAATTTTTGAAAAAATTTTTTGGAATGCAAATTTTCGCTTAATTAAAATTTTCGCTTGGCAATTGGTGATAAATTTAAAATAATAAATAATCACAGTTCTAAATTAATATTGTGGCAATAAAAAATAATAAAATCATAAATTTAATAAAATAAATTTTCTAAGGAAAAGTGGTTCTTGCTATTCCACTGTGAATAAATGTTACAGTGACGCTTGTTGATAAATGGAAAATTCGATACAGTGGTTTCAGTGTAAAATTTTATTGGCAAAAAACAAAATTATATTTTTTTTTTCTCTCAAAAAATTAAAAATTTTTATTTAGCAATCTCTTGCTTTCAAATTATACACACCTGCACAGTGATTAAAACTAAAATCGGTTAAAAAATAATTCTAAATAAAATCATTTTAAATCAAAATTATAAGCAATCGCTTGCTTTAAAGGAAAATTAAAATTTTACGGAAAATTTACGGCAATTTGATAAAGAAAAATTTCTTTGATTTTAAAGAAATCAAGAAATAGTTAATAATCGCTTATTAAAAAAAAAAATATAATAATATAAATCATTATAATTTACAATTTTGCGGATTTTTACGGCGAGTAACAAGAAAATTACAAGATTTTATGAAAATTTAATCAATATTCAAAAAAAAATATTTGCGCTTTACGTTTGAGAAAATTATCGAGTCCAACGATAATCGATCAAACTTTTATATATATACAAAAAAGAAAAAAAAACATTTTACAGCAATTATTAAGAAAACTACAAATATTTATGAAAATTATTTCCCTTTTACTAACATTATAACATTTTAAACTATTTGAATAACATTTTTTACGCTTTACATTTGAGAAAATTATCGAACTTGACGATAATTAATCAAAACTATACAAAACTTTGAAAAAAAATTTTAACTTACTGCTTAAAGAATTTTGCTCACCTATCAATTTTGCTTGTATCTATCTGAGAATTAATCCAAATTACAAAGGATTTCTCTATTTTCGGTCCAAATTACAAAGGATCTCTAAATTTCGATCCAAATTACAAAGGATCTCTCAATTTCTATCCAAATTACTCTCAATCCAAATTACAAAGGATTTCGCTCTTACTCAATCCGAATTACAAAGGATTTATCTTACACAATCCAAATTACAAAGGATTTATCTCTCTCAATCCAAATTACAAAGGATTTCGCTCTAACTCAATCCAAATTAAAATAGATTTCTCTATTTTCGATCCAAACTACAAAAGATTTCTCAACTTTAGTCCAAATTTTACTCTTTATCAATCCCAAGTACAAAGGATTCTTCTTTAATCGCTTTCTAATTACAAAGAATTTCTCTAAAAGTTCATTAAAACTACAAAGCTTATCAATTTTTTTTCATATAACAAATTAAAATGACTTCTCTAAATACGCGATTTGCATTTGATGCCAAAAACTTAATTTCATTTTGTAAAAAATGCGATAGCCAAGATATTTTAAGCCAATCTGAGGCACTTATAGATTTAAAACTGAAAGATTTAGACACTCGCTGGAGTAAAGTAGAAAAGTCGTATGAAGATCTAATGCTTTCTGATCAAAGTGAAGAAGTTAAAACTACAGCTCAAGAGCAATACGATTCATGTGTCGACATGTATTATTTAACCGTTTCCAAACTTCTTGATGTGATAAAAACGTCAAGAGATAGTATTGCTCGCGCTAGCATAGATTCAGCCCCATTGAACACATCTAATGATCGGTTAAGTACAGGTCTTAAATTGCCCCCATGCGATACTCAAATATTTTCAGGAGGTTATGAAGACTGGCCGGCATTTCGTGATATGTTCACGGCAGTCTACATTAACCATCCAAGGCTAACTCTCGCAGAAAAACTTTATCATCTTAGAAATAAAACTACCGGTTCAGCCGGAGCAATAGTAAAAAGATTCCCTTTAACCGATAATAACTTTCCTCTAGCTTGGCAAGCACTTAAGTTGCGGTATGAAAATGTAAGAGTTTTAGTCGACAATCAGATCCGTAACCTTTTCAATATTCCCGTAGCTAGCGTAGAGGATAATGAGTCCCTACAAAGAATTCATAGCTCAGTTACTGACTGTTTAGCTATGCTTGATACAATGAGTATATCAGTTGAAGGCTGGGACCCCATTTTAGTCAATTTAGTCTATTCTAAATTACCCAACGAAACATTGGCTCAATGGGAACAATCATTAAACGCCAGTAGAGAGTTACCAACCTGGTCTCAATTAAGTGATTTTCTACTTAAACGATGTGAAGTCGTAGAAAGAATTTCCACTATCAAAGTGAACAAATCTGCTTTCCTTAATCAAAATGAAACTCATTCACAAGTTCAAATGTACTCATCCCAAGAAAAACTTAATTACAAATGCAAAATGTGCGATGAAGATCACAGTTTGAGAACTTGTTCGCAATTTCGTAAGCTTTCAATTCAAGAAAGAGTTGATTTCATTTTCAAGAATAAGTTTTGTAACAATTGTTTGTCACAATCTCACACGAAAAAGAATTGTATGAGCAAAAATTCCTGTTTAAATTGTGGTAAAAAGCATCACACACTGCTTCACATGCGTTCTTTTAATCCTCCTCGGAATAGCTCAAATCAAACGTGTCCAAACAAAACCGATCAAAACATAAAATCTGATCCAAAAACGACTAATTCTAGATCCGTTGAGTCAAATGAATCTGAAAACGGTCCAGCAACCTCAAATGCTCACAAAACTTTCCAAGTTAATGCGAATTATGCCATGAGTGATACTAAAGTCTTGTTACGAACTGCAATGGTTCAAATAGAAAGTAGAGGGGAATTATTCTCGATTAGAGCTCTCATTGACCCAGGTTCTGAGAGGACCTTTATATCTGAAAAGGTTCGAAATCGTTTAAATATCCCATCTAGAAAATCATACTGCGAAATAATAGGAGTTGGCGGTCAAACTCAAGTTTCAGAAAAAGAATGTGATTTGGTTTTGGTCTCGCACAAATCCAAGTTTCGGTTACCCGTAACTGCTATCGTTTTACCTAAAGTCACGAATAAGATTCCCTCGGTTTCCTTTGAACTCCCTAACCCAATTGAGCTTTCTGGTATTGACTTAGCTGATCCAAATTTTAATATATCTTCCTCGATCGATTTAATCCTTGGAAATGACAGTGAGCGTTATATAAATCTTGATGGCATCAAACGAGATGTATGTGGCTCTGCTTCTGCATATAGAACGGTTTTCGGATGGGTGCTTAGTGGCCCCGTGAAGACTCAGCCAATATACTCGTTTTCAACATGCGTTGGTTCCACTGAAGACTTTACCTTGGATGAATTAGTTCAGGAAGTTTTGGGAACAGGAAGAAATTCCATCAACCCGGCCAGCTTCTTCAGAGGATGAATATTGTGAAAAATTTTATCAACAAACCACAACACGCTTACCAAATGGACGATATATGGTCAGATTACCATTTCGACAGGAGTTCCCGGAATCAAGGTTTCTTAGCCCATCAAGATTTATCGCTCTTAGTCAATATGTTCGGATGGAACAGATGTTGGAAAAAGATCCCGCGTTAAGCACTCAATATAACGACGTGCTCACTGAGTATATAACCCTCGATCATATGGAAGAAACAACTTCTCGTGAGTACTTTTCGGAAAATAAATGTAACTCCTTTTATCTCCCTCATCATGCAGTCGTAAGACCAGAAAGCAAATCTACGAAGGTTAGGGTTGTTTTCAATGCTTCCCGCAAAACTAAGTCAGGGTTTTCATTAAACGACGTTCTTTATACTGGTCCCACACTTCAAGCTGATCTGATGACAGTGATATTAAATTGGCGTTTTTACAAATTTGTTTTCAGCGGTGACATACAAAAAATGTATCGTCAGATATTAGTCAATCCCCAAGACAGACCGTTTCAGAGAATACTCTTCCAAAAATCCCCCCGGGAGGCCATCAAAGATTACCAGTTAAAGACTGTTACATTTGGTATAAATTGTGCACCATTTTTAGCCATTAGGACATTAATCCAGTTAGCGTCTGATTCCGAAGATAAGTTTCCCAAAGCAGCTGATATATTACGTAGAGAAACTTATGTAGACGACATTCTAACTGGTGGTCATTCTCTCGAAGAGGTTATAAAATCCCAGAAAGAGCTGGTGCAAACTCTAGAATCAGCTGGTTTCTTATTAAAGAAATTAACCTCCAATAACTCTCGTTTGTTAGCTTCTTTTCCCAAAGAAGATCTTTATGATTCTGATTTTCTCAAATTTCATGATTCCAGTGCGACAAAAACTCTCGGCATTCGCTGGAACGCACTGACTGATTCGTTCACATATACTTTTGAATCTATTCCTCAAGAAACAAAAATAACCAAACGCAAAATCGTATCTTCAGTAGCCAAATTGTTCGATCCAGCTGGCTGGATATCACCCGTAGTCATTAAAGGCAAAATTCTCATTCAGCAATTATGGCTGGAACGAATCGATTGGGATGATTTTGTCAGTACAGATTCTCTCCGAATCTGGAATGAAATCGTAAGCGATCTCTCGCATATAAATGAAATCCAAATCCCTCGTTGGATTCAGTTCACTCCCGTTGATACTATTCAAATTCACGGATTCTGTGATGCCTCCAAATTGGCGTATTGTGCAGCAGTATATATTAGAATACAAACATCTTCTCCTGTCGTTTTTTCGCATTTGCTAGTTTCCAAAAGCAAAGTAGCACCATTAGCATCTACAACTTTACCGCGCTTGGAACTTTCTGGCGCAGTTATGCTAGCTAAACTAGTACAATATACGATATCTTCGCTTAATATGAAAAATCACGAAATCATTTTATGGTGTGACTCATCGATTGTTTTAGGATGGCTTGCTAAGCCACCTTCAACCTGGAAAGAAATCTATGTTTCTAATCGTGTAGGCCAAATCCATAAATTATTGCCAAATGCAAAATGGCGCCATGTTCCAACTCATTTCAATCCCGCTGATCTAGGTTCCAGAGGATGCAGACCACAGGACTTAATCAACAACCAACTTTGGTGGCAGGGCCCACCATGGCTTACAAACCCGGTTTCGGAATGGCCACAGAATAATCCGTTGAATACCACGAAATCTCCCGAAATTTCTATTCTTAAGCAAACACAAACCCAAAGCTTAACGGTTCCCATCAGTAGCTTTCAAACTACAGTCTCTTCCGTAGACATTCTTAAAAGATTCTCCTCCTACACGAGATCGTTAAGAGTTCTTGCATACGTTTTTCGATATATTCGGCGTTTTAAACCTTCGTTTGCCAATCAAACCAACAACTTAGCTGATCACAATTCTCAACTCAGTCAACAGGAAGTCAATTCTGTAAAGTCCAGATTAATAATGTTAGCTCAGAAAGAATTCTACCAGCGTGAATATGAATTACTCTCTGAAAATCAGCCCATTCCAAAAGACAGCTCTTTATTCACATTAAATCCATTTCTAGACTCCAAAGGTCTTTTAAGAGTCAATGGTCGCCTAGCCAATTCTTTATTACCTTACAACGAGCGTTTCCCAATCATTCTACCCCGAAATTCACACTTTTGTAACCTATATTTATCCCATTTGCACGAGATTCTAGCCCATGGAGAATGCACCTTAATGTGTCGGATGATACAAACCGAATTTTATATCTCTCGTCTTAAACTCAAAGTTAAAAAACTCATAAGATATTGCAAAACTTGTATAATTCATAAGAAACAACCATGCTCTCAAATTATGGCGGCTTTGCCTACCGACCGCTGTACCCTGTCCTTCCCATTCAACATAACCGGAGTAGATTTTTCCGGTCCGTTTGAGCTTAAAAGTTCCAATTTACGAAGATCATCTATCATCAAAGGATATGCATGCGTATTTGTATGTTTTGCTACAAAAGCGGTCCATTTAGAGCCCTGTTCCAGCCTTTCTGCAGCTGCGTTCCAAGCAACATTCGCCCGATTTGTTGGTCGCCGTGGTCTTCCACACAAACTAGTCTCTGACAATGGTAGAAATTTTGTTGGTTCGAATCGAGCTTTACGCAAGGAATTTACTACTTTTATAAACTCCGTTTCTCAAGACATTGCTCAAAAATACATAACTCATGGGTTTGAGTGGTCTTTCATTCCCCCCCAGGCTCCCCACATGGGAGGACTTTGGGAAGCGGCGGTCAAAAGCTTTAAATTCCATTTAAAGCGGGTGGCAGGAGCCCATCGGTTCACATTTGAAGAGTTTACCACGGTGTTAGCTCGTATTGAAGGTGTATTGAATTCTAGGCCCATATCCGCTCTCTCTGAGGACCCAGCTGATCTTACCGCGTTGACCCCAGGACACTTTCTCCGTGGCGGTCCAATTATGGCTTTACCCGATCCAAACTATCAAAATCTTTCCTTAATAAATCGATGGGAAAAACTAAAAGCGATTAACCAAAAACTTGCGATCGAGTGGAAGCAAGAATACTTAAAATCACTCCATAAGAGATATAAATGGAAGTTTTCTACGCCTAATCTAAAAATAGGAGATTTTGTAGTGGTAATTGACGATCTTCTACCACCATGTGAATGGCGTTTAGGCAGAATAGAAAAAATACACAGCGGTTGCGATAATTATGTTCGAGTAGTTGATGTTCGTACAAAAGGCGGCATCATCACTCGTCCCATCACTAAATTATGCTATCTGCCATATAATAACGTTCAAACTAGCGACTAATTACTTACTAACATTGTTTATCCCACATTCCTATATCCTATCATAATCGTTTTTTCCCATTTCCATTCCCATTACTTCTTAAATCAACATTACTCATACGTTTTCTCCTTACAGCATGCGAGATCAATCACCAAGAGACCCAACAGTGCACCAGTGCCGACTCTGTGACCGTTACCACGCGCTACGGTTCTGCCGGCGTTTTTTGGCGATGGAGTCAGCAGAGCGTTTTGTAGTGGCTCGGCGGTATGAATACTGCCTGAACTGTTTGGCCAGAACACACAACGTGTACAGTTGCGACAGCCCCGATACGTGTATGTATTGTGGTCGGCTACATCACACGCTACTCCACCCAAGCCGTCATCCCCGAGTCACTGCACCAGAAGGCAGTGTCCAGAATAGATTGGGCGAACGTCAACTGGTCCGTCCAAGCCACCGAGACTACCGCCATCGTGCCAACCCTAATCGCCGTCGCCCCACCAATTCTCAACCACAACGCCACCGTACCGCCAACACCAATCATCAACATCATCGTCGTAACACCACCAACCTCCACCGTCGCCGAACCAACACTTCCAGCACCAGAACTAGTCGCCAACATCCAAGGCGTATAAACAGCACCACCATGTCTCGGCGAAACAACAATCCACCCGCTATGCCCAACCGTGTCATCTCTGAGGCAATTCGTTCACTGGCCGCCGTCCTATGCGCTACCTCAAACAATTAGGTTGCACATGTGCAACGAGGGGCGCCATGTCCAAATTAGCATTAAGAATTGAATTATATTGAATTGATTGTTAGTTAGAATTTTATTATTTTTTATTATTTTATTATTATTTCATTATTTTTCTTTAATTGAATTTATATAAAATGAACTATTAGTTTGTAAGCTTTTCCCTTGGTTTTTATTTGAATTTAATACTTTTGTAAACCCTAGTTTATATACATAGTTAACGTATGTACAAAACTAAACTGTATTTAATTTACTTATTATGTATTAAACTTAACGAAACATAAGTATCCGTTATAACGTTGTGTGAAAAGAGCCTTCAAGGCATTTAAAAAAGAAATAAACTTTCACTTCTTCCTAAACCAGCCAAAGGTGAGCATCATTTTTACTTAAATAAAATCCCTTTTTATTTAAAACTAATCCCTTGTGTTTTTCTCTTTTTTCCCCACACGCTTAAAACTACACTTTATAATTTCTCATTCCTTGAGAAATTATAAAGTCCTTTAAATTTATTAATCCTTTCCGAGGATTAATATATTCAATAGCGTTTTTGTCGTTCTTCCAGCGTGGGTGTTGTAATTATTGTTTCATTTAAAATTGAAGAAGTATTTTTTTCATTTTGTAATAATATTACTGAGGTGTTTTCTTCGGGATTTGACTGACCTGACGACTCTTCCCGGACTGATCGTCGGCTTTTCTGTTTTCCGCCTCACACTTGTTACATATAAAACATTTTAAATTCGGTTGATCACATTTGAAGCACGTAAATTTGTGAAAAGCAGAGCTGCATGGACATGGTGATGACTTTTCCTCTCTTGTATATCTTTGTTGGTTATGTGACTGAACAGGTTTGTGTATTTCCGTCGCAGTACACAAAATTTCCGTAATCGTATAAAATAAAATGTCCTCACATACAATTTTCCAAATCAGTCCTCATCATCTGCACTGTCCTAGATGTTATCGACAGGCATGACCAAACCCTCCCGTCCATGCTGTAATGGCCTTATCATATATTAATTTCCCTACAGTTCCTACTTCTGAGTCTCCGTCCGTCTTAGTCCGAGTGGTTCGTCCTCACCTCGTCCGTCTGCATATTTCGTCTGGTTTGCTCCCTCATCATACACAAATTTACAATTATTTAATCTTTCATTATAATTGAATTTTCTCTTTTATTATCCATTTCATAAATTAGTTTTAGTAAATATTTTTCATATTGTTTGTCTTATTTTATTTAGCGTAACTCTAGGATCTTTCTTTTCCCTTTTCTATTAATTAATTAATTTGATTTTATCGCATAATACTATCCTATGATCGTGTTATGTGGTTCTAACTTAAACATCGAAATTCATTCTCTTAATTCTATATAATTCCTATATAAAGGCAAAACTTACTTATAACAACTGCACAATATAGAATTATTGTGAATTACAATTCAAATTTTTAAACTACAATTCGTTTATGGGTTAAATCTACATTTGTTTAATTAGAACCTTTTCTGTTTTTATTCTTAAATTTTTTTTCTTTGTTTCGTTAGTTATCATTCTTATTATTTACATTTTTTTCTTAACTCACAGCGTTTTGTTTACTTATTCCATTCCTTTACCATCATAAGGTACATGTGTGTTGACTATTTCAAATACCCCATAACAACAACAATTAGACGTCGACTGCGCTCATACTCTAATTCCTACATCGGCAGAGAGTAAAAAATAAGTTCTCTTACAGGTTTTTATCGTTTTTTATACGTGTGTAAGCATAAAAGCTATGAAATTAAGAGTGCAAGAAGGCTCTCAACAAAGCTCTTTGCCGATTAGGGCTCTAATTCATTGATGCAACCGTCTCTCTTAAACAAAGAACACAAGAAAAATGACGTAAACAACAACAACTTTAAAAGAGATCAGTCGCCTCATGGTGTTTCTTTTTCTTTTTGATGAAATTTATAGACTCTCTTTGGCAAGAGGCACGTTGCAAGTACATGCAAATCCCGGTATAACGAATGATATAATGTCAGGCCCTTTCGTTAAATCGAAATATTCGTTATATCGGAATTATTTTTTCTAGTAAATTTCTTTATTTAATGGACAAAAAACCATTCAAATTAATGTATGAAATTATTACTTCAAATTTTATTTCAAACAACTAATAACAACGCACACGTTTTTCCATTTTGAACATCTGAACGGATTGAAAAATTTGTGAAGGATTTTAGTTTTCTAACAACTTTAATTTCCTGCTATTTCCTTAACCTTATTTTATTATCTAAAAGATAGAATTAAACTCTTTTGAGGAAAAACTGAACTTGAGAATCGATAACTGAGTCTCATGCTGATAATTTCAAAACCCTGGAATATTGCGCCATATTGGGGTATCGAAATAATTTATTTTGCTGTAAAATTTTATTATTTCAATGTATCCCTTTTAAACACTATTCAAGCTAAATTTACCGCTAAATTTACCATTAAATTCACATCTAACAGATTTATGCTTTTTAGATTATAATGTAAGGAATTTTGATCGATAGGTCAGATATGTAGTATAACTAAAATTAAGAATATGGGCGACTTCTTTCATTTTTACATTATATTCTAATTGCTCAATCAAGTTTTTGATATTAACAATATAAATATAAAATCAAAAGCTGGATTTTTTAGGTATTTTTTCTTTCTATTCGTTATATCGAGTATAAAATTTCTTAAACGTTCGCTATATAAGGTGGTAATTTGGCTGTTCGTAATATCGGATTTTCGTTAAAGTGAGATTCGTTATACCGGGATTTGCCTGTACTTTCTGTTAGAACTATTGTTGCCAAATGGGATTTGTTGGAGTTAGTACTCAATGGAAGCTGATTTTTTTCTTCGGTTGCACATGCTAAATGAGCTCGTTATAGTAGACTATTCTTAGTTCTTCCTGTCGTATTTAGTAATTTGATTACTATACACATTGGCTTTTCGGCACATGTTGGAATACCATATTGTAGGGGGCCGTTAAAGCTGTATGTGCTTAATTGAGTAATCTTTAATGTGGGATTTCACCCAAAGACTGCTCATAGAAAGAACCACCACGTAGGCCACGCTACCCGATGGAAAGAGACTGCGATTAGTCTCTTGAGAGTATGCAATGTTCTTATTTAGGTGTATCAATAAGTGAAATTAACATTTTTACTCTTAATAAATAATAGTAGTTGACTTTTTGCTTTCTGTAATGAATGACTTTTCCTTTATATTATAATTTTCTTACACGTTTTAGACTTTTCCTTTCTATTTCTAAAAGTTCTTACTTCAGCGAGTGGTCAGGAAGAAAAGACTGGTTACAATAGTGAACTTGCACTCGTTAATCGTCATGTCAAAAGTTTAATGTCAAATGACTTGGAAGTGTTCTGAAAGTTTTAACCCTATGATGAAAAGGCAATAATATAATTTTGTTTTCATAACAAAATTTAACGGTTCTTAAACATTTTCAATCAGACAAAATTGTTTAATTTAGCCCATATAATTAAGGTTTACATATTTAAGAGCTGTTATTACTATTATATACATGTTTTGCTTTGTGGAGGTATATTACTTTTCTTACAAAATTATCCTTAAATTTTAATTTCGCAACACTGTAATAGTTACACAATTGGATAAAATTTTAGTTATTTTTGTTGTAGTTTTACAAAGATCCATTATGTCTATAATCACAAAATCAAAACACCCAAAATTATATAAATGATATATAAAGAAAAATGCCATAGTTTACAACTCGACATTAATCCCATTAAATTGTAAAGATTATCCACCATGGTTATTAAGTTCCGACACCATAAACATCTCCCTTCACAATTTCTCCAAAAAACCAACACAACCTCATACAATTTAGAACATTATTTCAAAATCTTATAGAAAAACAAGTAAGAAAGTATAGTCGGGCGTGACCGACCATATGATACCCTACACCAGTTATGAATATTAAATGTGAATTATTTTTCATAATAATTCATTGTTCCGATGCATTTAAGCAATTTATGGATGAAAAACTAATTTTCTGAAAGAGGATTTATATGGGGGCTAGGGGCAAATATGGACAAGTCCGATAATTTTGTCTATTTATATAATATTTATTTGTGCTGAATTTCATTGCGATATTTGTGTTTATAAGTTAATTTTGGACATTCAAGTAATTTTCGGAAGGGGACTTTGTATTAGAACCAGGATCAACTGAGGCCCGATCTTTATGAAGTGTGGCAAAGTCATCAAGGCTTGTATAAAACTTAGTTGTGCCGCTTTTTATCGATATACAGGTATATTTAACATAATTATAAGCTCAGAAGCCCTTTTCGGGGGGTTCTGTTGTATGGGGTCTAGGTGAAATAATGGACCGATTTTAACCATTTTCAATAGGCTTCGTCCTTGGGTCAAAATCGCGACCTGTACCTTGAGCACGAGGTTTACATGGACAGCCAGCCAGACGGGCGGACGGACAGACGGACTTTAAGGTGGGTATAGGACGAATATTTTTGTATGTTACAAACATCAGCACAAACCCAATATACTCTCCCCACTAAAGTGGTGTAGGGTATAAATACCGCAACACCAACTTTTATTTACAGATGGATCTAAGATTGAAAATTCAATAAGCTTTAGCGTCACCACTAAAGAAAAAGTAATTAAAACGGCAATTTTACCACCATATAGCTCTATCCTTTCTGCCGAACTAATTGCCATTTATGAGGCACTTATTGAAGAACATCCAACTGGTACAAGACTGTTAACAGAAACAAAACTAACATTTATCAATACATACCAGCAAATTAGACCGCATAATTATTACAAAATTTTTGAGACTTCGACTCGGACACACAAAACTGACACATGGTACTTTACTAAACTTACCAAACCTTCCCACTTGTAACTGTAGAATCAACTTTCCTACTTCACCAGAACATTTATTATGTTACTGCCCTAAATATACCAACACCCGTTTACTAACCCAACATCAGACAACATTATGACCATAATTTTAAAAAATGTATCTAATATTAACTTTATTGGAGCTGAAAGCCATAGCTATTGCTCCTTTTATCAATTAGCTTATTTTTTTAATCATAAGTTAATTTGTAATTAAATCCTATATATATATAAAACAGACTGTTTGTTTGTGTGTTTGTTTGTAACGCTTTCACGGCAAAACTACTGAACCGATTTACATGAAATTTGGACCGCTAATAGGTCCAACCCCAAAAGGAACAATAGGCTATATAAGATCTTGATCGGATGTCACGCCCCTTTTTACGCCCACTTTTTGTGAAACTATTATTACACCAAATTTGCCATTACAATATGCAAAAACTACTAAACCGATTAACTTGAAATTTTGCATACCGATAGGTATAAGCTTGGAAAGAACAATAGGTTATATATAAGAACTTGATCCGATGCCACGCCCACTTTTTATAAAACTACCCTTACCTATATCTTATCCTATAATTATATGAAACAGTCTGTTTGTTACGCTTTCACGGACAAACTACTGAACAGATTTACATGAAATTTAGAACACTAATAATTCTATTATAAAGTAGAACAATATGCTAAATAAAAAAATGATTTGACGTCACGATTCTTCTTATGCTCACTTTTTCTATATATGTAATTGTTATACAAAATTTTAATTCGAGACTTACAGAAAACCACTGAACCGATAAGTCTGATCTCAGGATCTGGATCGGATGCCCCTTTTTACACCAACTTTTTGTAAAACAATTATTAAACCAAATTTACGTTCAGCCATACAAAAAACTACTGATCCGATTTTCATGAAATCTGTTATAATGAATGTTGTGGAATGAACAGTACTACACATTACATCTCCAAAACCTATAATATATAATAATAAATATATATGAAACCCTTTTTTTACTCTTTCACTACATAACTAATAAACTTATTTACATAAAATTTGGCGTTTAATAGGTCTAACCTCAGAAGTCAACAAGTTAGGGTGCTATATTCGGCTATGCCGAATCATAAATACCCTCCACCAGCAAGCTACTTTTTATTAAAATCCATTTAACATCTAATTTTTAGATAACTTGACTTCATATAGGAGCTACGACCAATAACGGGCCTCTCCAGAAAAATTTCGTAGAGTGATTCATATGTATGTACACAAAATATATTTGTGTCGAATTTTATCAAATTACCTTTATTTTACAATTATTAACAATTATTAACGATAAACTTATATCCGGAAATATACACCTTTGTATGGGGGCAATGGGAAATATTGGATCAATTGTTATGAGTTTGAACATACTTGATCCCTGGCACAAAAAAATAATGTGTGACAAAATTCATCGAAATATCTTTAGTAGTTTCTCAGAAAACTACTTAAGAATTGGGAAAAAAACTTTATTTTTTTCGAGGTAGTCTGAAATTTTTAGTCATAACTTTTTACATCGTAAACCGGTTTTACTGATTTTGAATACCAAACTGGACCGGATAATAAGGAATGTTTTGGGTGAATTTCGTGAATTTTAATTGCTTCGTTTTAACGTGTTTTACACAGACAGACAGATTGGATGATACGCACCTTTTTATGTTCACTTTTTGAATAACTGCCATAACACCAAATTTCTAAGCTAAATATAAAAAAACATGAACCGATTTTCAAGAAATTTGGCAACATACAGTGTTTGAGGAAGAGAATGTTTAATACACCAAATTATTATTTAGGTAGTTAAAATTTTTATCAAAAATTTATTTTTATTTGAAAACTCTAAAATGTTTGTAGGTCCTTAACTTACTTTACGAGTAGGTAAAATAAGAATCTGTAATCTATTTAATTTATTATCAAATATCGATTTTCATCTAAAGCGTAAAATCGGTTGTGGATTCGTATACCCCATCATTTATATTTTCCTCGCGAAAACTATTCTTATTTCAAAACCTGTAATCCGCTGTATATCCTCAAAGAAAAAAATTATTTTAAAGCAGAATCGGAAATTTTTTATCAAAATTTATTGTTGTAGATCTGTATATATTACTTCCATCACTTATATTTTCCACCGGTAAACTATTTTTTTTCACAACCTTTAATTTGCTGTATATCCTCAGAAAATAACAATTTTAAAAGAGAATCGGATGTAGTTTCCTACGATCAAGAAAACTATAAACTATATTAGATCGTGAATGAATGTCTATGATGCCACTTTTGTATGCAGTACTGAATAAAAAAAATATGTATAACTATATTAGATCTTGAATGAATGTCTACGATGTAAATAATATATTCATATTACATTTTTCACGAAAATTCGAATTTTAAACTTAAATCTAAAAATCCATCTAGAAAATCATTTATATCTCCACTTAAAATTTCTATTTATATAACTCTTTACAAATTTACTTTAAATAACTCTCAATTCGAGAAAAAATAAAGAAAAAATACAAAAATATAAAATTTAAATTTATTGTTTAATCGAGATAACAATAAAAATCTGCAATAAGTTAAAAAACCATCAAAAATTATCTTGATATAAATTCGGTTGCCATTTTTTAAATACAGCTCAAATCTAAAAAACCATGATATGTATTTGACTACTCATTAGATTGTCCTGAAAGACAGCACTTTTGCAAATCTTATATAGGTATACCTCTGAAACGATGCATATAAAGCATTGTTCATATAAAATATGGATGAATTCATCTTTCAATATCTTTTTATACTTTTAGAAAATTATCCACCAAAAATTCTGCACGTATGTATGTAGCACCGTATTTATTCCAAGCTTTTCAAATTAAATAATGATTCTGAATAATTCCAGCACATATTTTCCATTTACCATTAACAAATTCCGAAATTTTTTAATTAGAGGAAGATGTGGATATTTTAATAAGTAAAATTATTTGGTAACTTTTTTGTATATCTAACGATAGTTGATCTTTAAAACTTTATTTCTTCGGATAAAATAAGTGGTGTCTAAATCCATCCAAAACTTTAGTGTGGATTCATAAAAGCTAATGAATAAAAATAATATTTTTAAACATACTTTTTTATAAATGGATGTATTTTTGAAAAACAAAGACGAAAAAACTCTTTAATGAACAACTCAAAATTGTTTGTCAAATTAAAAGTAGTTTTGTTTTCTCTGTCAATATTCAAGGATGCTTCATATTTTCCTAGAGCAGAAAACAACGTAATTTTGTTCTTTTTAAATAAATTTGAAATCAATGAGCAGAGTTCTTTTTCAATTGCATGTACCTTTTCAAAGAGCAAAAAATCGCTTGAAATTTTATACGGTTAATGGTACGTATTTTTGAAATTAATAAAATGCCCTCTTTACACCAGGGGCACTACAATTACGGTGCGACATAATTTAAACTGAACAGTTCTTTAAATC